TCAAGAATTAGTTACTGGTAAAATTGCTGGTGTTGTAGTGACATCTGCTGGAGGTGCTCCTGGTGATGGACAAAATATTTTAATTAGAGGAAATAGTTCTTTATCATTAAATGCACAACCGTTGTATGTAGTTGATGGAGTTCCGTTAGCAGATACAAACGTTGGAGGTTCTCGTAACCCTATTGATTTCTTGAATCCAAATGATATTGAAACAATGACAATATTAAAGGATGCTTCTGCTACAGCTATTTATGGTTCTCGTGCTGCAAATGGTGTTGTATTAGTAACAACAAAGAAAGGAAAAGGAAAAGGTTTTAGATATAGTTACAATTCAACGACGTCAATTTATCAACCTGAAGGATATATTGATATGATGAATGCAAATCAATTTCGTGAACTAGTAAACCAAGTTGGTACTACAGCTGAAATTGCTAGATTAGGAAATGCAAATACAGATTGGCAAAGAAAAATATACAAAACAGCTGCTGGTTTTGACCATAATTTTAGTGCTACAGGAAACATTGGTGGTAATATGCCATCTCGATTTTCTGTTTCTAATACAAATCAAGATGGTATATTAAGAGGAGATAATATCAATCGTACAACTTTGTCGATGAATTTGAATCCTACTCTATTAGATAAACATTTACGTTTTGAAATTAATGCTCGTGGTTCTTACATCGAAAATCAATTTGCAAATAGAGATGCAATAGGTTCTGCATTGGAATATGATCCTACACAACCAGTATATTCTGGAGCTAATATTTTTGGTGGCTATCATACATGGATGGATGGAGCTGTAAAACATAATTTAGCCCCTGTCAATCCTGTTGCATTAATCAATGAAGTTGATGACACATCAGAAATACGACGTTTTGTTGGTAATGCTAAAGTAGATTATAATCTACATTTTTTACCTTCTGTTACTGCAACTGTTAAATGTTGGATACGATTATCAATTTAATGGTTCGTAAAATAAATCTTGCTAATTTAACCTAGGCATAGCTAATTGGAATGGTTCTAAAACATCGTTTAATAATGAGTTTTATAATAAATTATTTGATGCATATTTAACTTTTGATAAAGATTTCGGAAAACATAACGTAAAAGTTATGGGAGGATATAGCTATCAATATTTTAATACGTATCAATATAATTTTGACGGTCTATTAAAAGAACAAAATGCAGAACAATATGAGTTTTATTCTAGAGATCAAAGTACTTTATTATCATATTACGGACGTTTAAATTATAGTTTTGATAACAAGTATATTTTAACAGCTACAATGAGAGCTGATGCTTCTTCAAAATTCAAAAAAGATAATCAGTGGGGGTATTTCCCTTCTGCAGCATTTGCTTGGAACATTTCAAAAGAAGAATTTTTGAAAGGAAGTACAGTTATAAATGATCTTAAATTCCGTGAAGGTTTGGACAAGTGTAATGTAGCTGTTTAAAATAACTTTAATATTTAACCCACGTTATTCAAATTTCACAAAGCTACTCTGCAAATTATCAATTTGGTTCTACATTTTACCAAACTTTACCGTCCCACAGCCTTTTAATTGGAGATTTGAAAATGGGGAAAGTTTCTAAACATTCAATATTGATTAGATTTACTCTTTATTTAAAATAGAATTTATGGTTACAGTAGACGTTTTATAGTAAAAAACAAAGGATTTAATAGCTAGTGTTATATGTAGATCCATTCTATTAATTTTGAAATATGATCGATAAAAATATCGGTGATATGGAAAACAAAGGAATTGAATTTAGTATTAATTCAGATATCGTTAAATCAAAAGATTTTGATTGGTCATTTGGTTACAACATTGCATTTAATGATAATAAAATCACCAAACTACCAACTGATAATTTGACTGGAGGTATTGATGGAGGAACAGGAAATAATATTCAAATACAAAGAGAAGGAGAAGCGCCTTTTAGTTTCTATGTTTACAAACAAATATATGATGCTAATGGAAAACCTATTGAAGGTGCATACGAAGATTTGAACGGTGATGGTATAATAAACGAAAAAGATAGATACATCCATAAAAGTCCTTTTGCTAAAATCACAATGGGATTAAATACTAGTTTTAGATATAAAAATTGGGATTTATCTGCTACTGCACGTGTTAGCTTAGGTAACTATGCTTACAATAATGTAGCCTCTTCAAAAGGATATAGTAGAAAAGCAACAGGAAATGGTCAAAATTTCTTAACGAATGTACATACTGATTATTATAAAACAGGATTTACAAATATTACTGAAACAAACCTATTGAGCGATCACTTTATAGAAGATGCATCTTTCTTCCGTATTGATAATATTACATTAGGGTACAATCTAAAACAAGCTATAAAAGGAATGGATGTACGCTTTTATGGAGCTGTACAAATGTAGCTGTTTTCACCAAAATTATTAAATGGATTAATCCATGAAATGTACATAGGAATTATAATAATTTTTATCAAAGACCTAAGAACCAGAACGTATTGTTACTTTGGTCTTAATTGTTAATTTTTAATTGATTATGAAAAAAAAATTACAATATCTAATATATAGTATGCACTATTTAGCATTTTTCCTTTCTTTTGTCATGCATGACTCTTAGAACTTAATGGCCAACGATCCTAATACTTATTACAGAATTTGATTGTATTCAAGGATCCTTCTTCTGCAAAATTAGCTTTAGGGCAAAAGTATATGCTTCTTTAGCTTTAACAGGTCAAAAGGACCTGATGGGCAAGGTGATATACAAGGAATAGATGAAGGAACGTTCTCAATATTCGCGTTTATTATTTTATTTAAACGAATTAACTACAGACCAAGCTATAATAGGATGGGGAGATCCAGGAATTCCTAATTTACATGATATATCTTGGGGTTCTAATAATACTTTTATACAAGCTATGTATTATCGTTTAGCTCAAACAGTTTCTTTTTCTAATTCATTTATTGTAAATGCTGAAAAATTAGCTGAAACAGATCAAGAAGTAAAAAGCTATATAGCCGAAGCTCGCTTTATTCGTGCTTATGCTTATTATAATCTTATAGATCTTTATGGAAATGTTCCTTTAGTCACAAAAATTTCATCAGAATTACCACAACAGAGTAATCGTAAAGAAATATTCAATTTTATTGAAAATGAGTTAAAAGCAATTGAAGAAGAACTAAAAACAGGTAAAGGAAATGAATATGGTCGTGTAGACAAAGTCGCAGCCGAAGCATTATTAGCACGTTTATATCTGAATGCTGAAACTTGGATTGGTGAAGCTAAGTATACTGAAGCTATTACATATGCTAAATTAGCTATGCAGTCTCCATATAAAATAAATACGAATGATACTAATAAAAATGGTTCTGCTTATGATGAATTATTTTTAGCGGATAATGATACAAATGGAGCACAAGATGAAGCTATTTTTACTTTAAATTTTGATGGTGCTAATTCTCGTACATACGGTGGATCTACATTTATAGTAAAAGCTTCTATTGGAGGAAATATGAAAGCTCCTGACTTTGGTGTGAATGGTGGTTGGGGAGGTCCTCGTACAACAAAAGCCCTTGTAGAACAATTTTCTAGTTCTATTTCTGCTACAAATCAAAATGGAGAGCCAACAGCTTGGAAAGATAAAAGAGCAATGTTTTTTAGTGGGTCATTCTTCGAAATAAATAATGTAGGTACATTTACAGATGGTTATGCTGTCGCAAAATGGTCTAATAAAAGAGCTGATGGTGCTGTAACAAGAGATGCTACTGGAGAATATGTTGACACAGATATACCAGTCATTCGTTTAGCTGAAGTTTACCTAAATTATGCAGAAGCTGTCCTAAGAGGTGGAGCTGGAGGAGACAGAGCTACTGCTCTAAGTTTAATTAACGAATTACGCACTAGAGCATACGGAAATACAAGTGGAAATATTACAGACTCTCAATTAAATTTAGATTTCATTTTAGATGAGAGAGCAAGAGAAATGTATTGGGAAGGTACTCGTCGTACAGATTTGATTCGTTTTAACAAGTATACATCAAATTACAATTGGCCATTTAAAGGTGGAGCTGCAAATGGGACATCGTTCCAGCTACAAGAGCACTATTCCCTATTCCAAACAATATTATTGTAATTAACCCTAATCTAAATCAAAATCCAGGTTACTAAGATGAGAAAATTAATTAAATATATTTCGTTAGCTTGTGCAAGTGTATTTGCACTAAGTTCATGTAATGATGATGAAGATTTATTAAAAGTTAATCCATCTACATTTATTGCCCCTAAAATTGAAATTACAAATTCTGATCCAATTACTCTATCGGAAGAAAATGCAACAGAAACTGCTATTTCATTTAAGTGGTCTGCCGCAGATTATGGTATAGCAACAGTTCCTAAATACGAATTACAATTAGATAAAAAAGGAAATAATTTCAAAGAACCTAAATCAATTGCAACTATATCTGAAACTGTATATAACATTACTGTTAAAGAATTAAATAACGTAGCAACAACTTTAGGATTAATTCCTGGTACTGCAGAAGATTTAGAATATCGAGTTATTTCATCAATTGGTACTCACGAATCAGAAGTATTAATTTCTGATGTTGTATCAATTAACGTTACTACGTATAAACCTAAAGGAGATCCTGTTTTATATTTAGTTGGTGGTGTACAAAGTTACTATGGTAAAAATAACTGGAATGCTGGAGATGGTCTTAAAATGAGATACATAGGAGATGGCACTACAAAAGTATTTGAAGCTTATGTTAAAGTAGGTCAAAATGATGGAATTAAATTTATAGGACAAACAACAGACTTTAATCCTGATAACTATGGTACTTCTAATGGAGCTCAGAATGGTCAGCTAGAAAATTCTGGTTCTTCTGGAGATGTGAAAATCGCAGAAACAGAAGGTGATGGTCTATATTACGTACAAGTTGATATAGATAAGCTTACATATAAATATGTAAAAATGAATTGGGGAATTATAGGTGATGCAACACCTAACGGATGGGACAATTGAACATGCTTTAAAACTATTAACTGATAATGTTTTTGAATTAACAACTAATTTGAAAGTGGTGATTAAAAATTGATCAAAAAATTTCTGGAATAAATCTATAATTGAGATTGGAAACTTCAATTCGGAATAGTGCCGTACACAGCTTATGATAATGGAGGACCAAACTTTAAGGTTAGTTCAAAAGAGACTACTATAAAAGTAAAAATTAATTATGATGGTATAACAGAATTAGAAGGGTTATAATTTTCATAATAAAAAATCACATAATCATAAAAGCCATTAAAATTCATTTTTTAATGGCTTTTTTTTCAAAATCACACACAAAATGAAAAAAACTTTATCTATTATTATGTTGCTTTTTATAATTTATATAAAAGCACAAATTAGTACTACTCCTACTATATTAGAACAGAACTTACCTGCGACTATTTTTTTTGATAAAAATGGAACTGGATTAGAAAACTATTCTGGTAATATTTATGCGCATACTGGAATTACAATAGATGGCGTAGAATGGCAAAATACA